AACATAATTCAGAAGTTTGAAGTCTTTTCTAAGAGATCAGAATCAAATTTCACATAGAGGATGATGAAATGAGTGTGGGAAAAAAATGCCAACAGGACCCAAGCCATATAAGACATATATAAGATGAGGAACATCATAGAGACTTGCTGGTCCATGTTCAAGAAACCATCCAGAATACCCTAGCAACCACATAGCAACATGCTAACAACCACTCAGAATGCTTTAGCCACCGCAAAACCCTTACAACCACCTAAAACACTCTAGCAAACACTGAAAGGCCAAACACCACTCACAATTTCAGAAAATGTCAAATTTGAGTTATACAGTGATCCTTCATTTGAACACAATCCCTCCACTTTTGTTCTCAGTCTTTGTAGTCTAGCATTAGTGCATCACCTCAACAAAACTGTATGTGGTCATTGGTTTATTGCACTCTGCAACAAAGTGCCACGAAAGACGGATTCAAAGTGTCAAGTCAGCGTTTGCCCTTCCTCTGTGCCTTTATCTTTAACGATGATGGCCTGTGCCGCTAATTACCCCAGTTATAATCACATCAGTAAGAGCTTTGTGAAGACTGGGTTTACCAAACGTATCAGTAATACAAAGTTTCAATTTCAACACAGTTGTCACAGCAGCAATTCGAGGAGAATTTATGAGTTCTGAATTGCTTTCTTGCCGCTCAAGACAGCGAATGGCCGAGCAGTGCCATTCTGGTATGACGTCCAAAGCAGCTGCTTGGCTGAAATGCTAAATGCGTGCTCCAATTCAATCTGTGAAACGTGTCTAAATGCTGATAAGATACTCAAACAGAACATAGATCACCGATTTAGAGCGACTCCTTGGCAGACCTAAATATTATGATCTCCGTTCCCTTGGCAAATGTCTACGGTGATTGCTGGCTAAACACTCTCTAAACAGGTCAGAGCGGACGAAATGCAATTCTTTCAAACAAAAACAGAAGAAAATATGTCACATTGAAAAGCTGTGTGGTTTATGGGTTTAATTGTTTTCAAGTATTCAGACGTATTGCTTGAAGTGAAAGGAATGACAGAAAATTCTGTGATTCATCCAAACAGATGTTCACATGGAGATGATGGCACTGCGCAAGCAATATGAAAATTAATCATAACATTATATCAGGGAGACCTGCAGGGATCACATGCATTTATAAATGCGGTTAAAAATGATATGTTATCCCATTTCGGACATTAAAATGCAAACATGTGTTAAGATGCAAACGTGTTTTCTTGTCAGTTATCAGACTCATGGATACTGAAAGCTGTGTGAAATCTCTGTAGAAAAGAGTGATGAATGATTAAACCACATATTAAGGAAAGTCCTGTTGCAAACACTGAAACGAAAATGCATGTCTACAGATGTGACCTTGACCTGCATTCTACATCTGCAGCCCACTAGACAAAAAGGAATTCAACATCCTCAGGTTGCATTGTAAAAGACTCACACTAGAGCTGAAGGGGAAATGACCGGCCCTGACCCATTAGACTAGATAACGTAGGATGCAAAAAAACAAAAAAAACGTGAAACCGCCAGACGAAAGGATCAAGAATAATCATCAACGACAGAAAAAAAACAAAAAAAACGAAGAACCTCTACAATATACATAATTACATGTGTCTTTGTCAGGACGGCAGTTAATGTGTGCAGGTGTTTTTTTACTGTGTTATGAAGATGCTAAAGTGTTTTGGGTTGTTGTTAGATGGATGCTTACTCTCCCAAAATGACCTCCGGTGATATTCTGGTCCCTATATGGCAAAAATATGCACAGTATTAATAGTGCTGCTTGTTTTAGCAAAACTACTAATTAATCATGTTTGCATTTGAATACTATAGATTTAAAATGAGGTGCATTAAGCAAACATGAATAGAACGAGGCTAACACATTACTGCCCCCTGCTGCTTATAGCTTAAAAACATCTTGTACTATTTCAGACTGTGATCAACACCATGTGTGGTTTTGGGATTCAAACACAAAAGCACCTGGACGCCACTAAATCCATCTATCCGGTGGGCTGTGCAGACAGAGCTGTGATATGGATTGAATCTCACCTGCTGTTAGTTGGGGCACTGACTCTGGGTCTCGCTTTACCACAGGTAAAATTCAGCTTGTGAGGGATTTCAGTTTCTCAGACAGATGACACTCCGATCATGGGGTCAATATAACAGGATCATTAAGTATTGCTGCACAAACAAAAATTGTCCTGAATTTTAATGTAATATAATTGCTTTAGTAATCAATTTGTAATGGATAATCCACCCCAAATTGAAAATTCTGACATCATTTACTCACCATGAAGTTGTTTATAACCTGCATGAGTTTCTTTCTCCTGTTGAACATGAAGATATTTTGAAAAATATAGGTAACCAAACAGCTGGACTAAACAACCCCATTGACTTCCATAGTATGAAGAAAAAACACTATAGTCAATGGGGACCATCAACTACCCACGTTCTTCAAAATATCATCATCAGAAGAAAGAAACTGTCCTTTTAACCATTACATTACATTACAATGAACACCACTGGAAAAATGAGTACATCACAACAAAACCATCTGCCATACCATAGGTTAAGCCTATAATAATGATGTTTTAGAGCTGTCTGGATGGATTTTTGTGTAAACTGCAAACTTCCATCATAATAACTTGCATAACATAAATAAAAGAAAGAAGGTGGCTGCTATATTCTGTGGAAGGTGTCAAAATAGCTTGAAGCCACGACAAATAAACCTCAAGAAAAGTGTTCGCAAGCAAAAAGGGAAAGCGACAGTGTCTGTAATAAATCACGAATCAACATTGCATAGCATATAGTTAGCTAGGTGACTGAGCTAGCACTGACTAGGTTCACAAAACTGTTTATATTGGTAACCAGTGTTGGGGAAAGTTACTTTTAAAAGTAATGCATTACAATATTACATTACTCCCTAAAAAAAAGTAACTAATTACGTTACTTAGTTACTTTTTACGGAAAGTAATGCGTTACGTTACTTTTTAAATATGAGCAGGGCTTGATTGTTTTTAATATAAGAAGTTCTATTTATAGCAAATGTAAAAGCCCTTTCCCACCAAAAAGTGTAATGAATAAACCTCAGGCTGAAGCAAAAGTAAATTCACGTCTGTACAGTAGAACACAGGAGAAGAAGGTTCAACACTCTTCAGCAATAAAAAAAAAACAATGAATCATAATTGTTAGTTTCTCTAAAGTTATTTTTGCTTATTAGCATGGTTAAACTGGATCATCAAAGGTCAGCAGCAAAGACATTAGTTAATAAAATGGGATTAGATACATTTGTGTTATTATCATATTTAATTATTGCAGGTTTGCGTCATATTCTGAGTTTGCGTTTCAATGTTTTAATTCATTTTGATGAATACTAAATCAGTTTTTTGTGAGTGGGATGAATTAATGCACATTCACATTTAGTCTAGAACTACATCATGTTCACACAGCGCACACAACGCCTCTGTACTTCCGATTTCTCCCAACACGGGGACAGGAGACTTGTCAGTCAATAAATGGGATAACAAAGTAACTGGCATTACTTTTTAGAAAAATAAGATATTTTCTTGTAAATTAAAAAGTAATGCGTTACTTTACTAGTTACTTGAAAAAAGTAATCTGATTACGTTACTCGCATTACTTGTAACAGTGTCCAACTCTAAACCAAATAGCCAAGCCAAGTTATATAGTTATAACTGTTTTACCTTATCTGATATGAAACACAATCGTTATGACTAGTGCCAGCATTGCCAAACTTTTGTATCCTTATTTTAAAACAACTGCAGCAGCGGCTTATACTTGCTCAGTCGTGCGGCTCACGTCATCAGATTCATCCGCGCAAAACAGCGGAGCCAAAGCACAACTCACGTAATGACCAACAAAATGTTCGTCCGCAAGTAACTTGTAGTTTTATGCTCCATCCACATGCGCATAGCGTATCATTAAACTTATGTTTCAAGTTTCAAACCAAAAAAATAAATAAAAATAGCTTGTACATTTTTCTATTAATTTGCCAATCCATTTGTCCTTCGTAGGGTCGTGGGGGTATATTTTTTCAAATGTGAGTATTGGAACAGGCCCTTAGTATGTGTCAATTTCGACTTTTCACATAGTTACAATAGTAGGGGGTTACAATTTTGTTTTTAAGTAATTTAATCATTCAGCCAGTTCACTCAAAATTAATTCAGGAACAAAACATATAGGCCTAATTGTCTTTGAGTGAGCGAGTTTTTCAATCGTTCATTCAACCATTCAGAATCAGTGATTCATTCAGAAAGGAAAAAAGACCTTTCTTGCCGTCCATTCTTCACTAGTCCATTCTGCTGCGAATTTGTTATAAACTATTTTCATTGGTGGAGCAGAAACAGACAAAGTAACTGGCAATATTGTGTCTGTTCATTACAAATCAGTGAAGCATATCTGTGTGTGACCTTTTTAATGATTCATGTAATGAAGGAAGGGTTAGCTGTTAGCTGTGACAACGTTGGGCAAAAACTGAAATTACGATCCTCTCTCCATACACACCGCTGTCCTGACACAGTTCTTCTGTTTGATCTACAGATCGCAGGCATCGTTCTGTCTCAGGTCCTCATTTCTGAGATCCAGAAAGAGATCGGATCTGTCATGTAGACAATCATCTGCAGTGCCGCCAAACTCTCTCACATTCTGAAGTGATGCTTTCATTCTGCACTGACTGCTCTCACACCTCCAACACAATTTCCTATCAGTTTCATTTCACTCTGCCTTGGAGCCAGTTCTTATTTATTTGTGATTTTGGTTTACATTTTTTCTGTTATTTGATCAAAAATAAAAATAAGTTTGTCTGTAAAGCTTGTGGGATTGTTATTTCTTCGTTACAAATCGAAAAGTCTGGAGGCATATTTTTAAGTTTATTTTTAATGCACACACCACTGAATGATCATGGTCATTTGTTGCATGCCTGCTGTTCGGACTTGAATAACATGTAATGCAAACTGAAAATCTGCAATGTAGGAGGAGGAGACTAGACTAAGAGTTGGAGGAGTGAACCCATTAAACACAAGACTTTGTTCAGTGCAAACTTTTGGGATGTACTCAGGCTCTCTGATCTGATGTATATAGTTAAATGTGTTAGGAAAGCGGCCTGTAATTAAACCGAAAGAGACCAGGCTGTTAACCGCGTAGGGAATGGGGTCTGAATTTAAACATGTAAGGACTGGGCTTTCTGGATCAGCCGGTCTGTGAGCAGGGAGTTTGGCCGCACTGTGTCTCTCTCGATCAGCATGCATCTAGGGACAAAAACACACAACACCTGCTTCCTCAGAAAGTGTCCAAGAAAGTCCCTGCAGGAGAACATTTCTATCCGAACGAGGCATTTTAAAAATATTCACATGCACTTCATTTTATGCACAACCTGTGTAGAGCAGGTGGGAGTTTGCAGTTTGGAAGAGTTTCGATTTATGAGCACTGCATACTAATGAAATGCAACATGTACATTTCTGTTTGAATCAGAATTACACAGAAATACCTGGCATGTGCGGACAGTTTGGTTATAATTAGCACATCAACTGACATGACAATTCATCTTTAATGGGAACCCTATGGCCTGGCATGGCAGTTTTTACTAATTTCTACATGAAAATGTCGTATGCCTTTTTTCACAACCAGTTCAAATGCAGAGCATTTTCACAGTTTTTTTCTTTTTGAAAGGGCGTGGCCTTTTGATCTATTATTCTCTTCAGTTAACAAAAGTTATTTTTTGCACTGTCCACTTAGAAAGACATCTGTGTTTATAACACACACAAAAAAAAACATTAATCAGTTTCCTTAAAACTCCCAAGTTAAGAAACCCAGGTTTAAAGGAACATTCCCATAACATAAGATTCAAACTCTATCAAATGCAATTTTCGATTTTTCCCACCCACAACAAACAAACAAAAAATGCATGAAGTTTATTTAATAAAAAATATTTCACAGTGAAAACTAAAACATAATAAATTAAAATAAATTAAATAAAATATGATTTATTTATTTACTACTTGTCTCAATGAAGCTGTTTGACATAACAAATACATTCATATATTTCACCAGCCAAAAAAATATTAACTGAACTGAATGATAACCGTTTGTTTATTTATTTTTTATTTATTGTAACTTCGTGGAACATATGAACACACCTGTTATGTCAAATAACATTATTATTATCTTAAAGAATTGATCTCTCTTCTCTTTTCAAACTGTTAAGTATCTTCTAGATTCTGCCAGAGGTTTGACATAACATTCTTTCATTGTAAGGACATGGCAATGTGTCTCGAGCTTAAACTGTGAGCCTAACAACTCCTTTAAAGTGCAGCATAAAAGCACGAAAGACAACAAATGAGCTATTTGAAAACCATTTTCCACTTAGAGTGGTATAACACAACGCTTACCTGGCAAACCGTTGGTGTTCTTTGTCTCCTGACTTCATGGCAGCATGAATAAGGAGCTGATTGAAAACATCTCTCTGCAGAAGAACAAATGAAGAGGTTGTTTAGAATGGAAACACTGCTTATCTTATATGTATTGTAGTGAAGCGGTGAAAGACCTGAGCGTCACTGCCCCCTATCTCTACAAAGCGGTCTTTGATGGGTTTGAGCAGCTCCACGGCCTGGCTGTAGTTTCGCTGGTCATACTCCAGCAGAGCCTGACACATGGGCAGCCCCACACGCTCGGCTATCTGGAGCTGATGGTTCTCTGCTGGGTCTCTGGAGGAGGACAAGTGTTAAAATGGACATTTCTGTCATCATTTATTCATCCTCATGTCATTCCATATACAACAAATATGATTTTTTGGGGGGGGGGAGTTTGCCAGCTTCTGGTCACTGTATGTTAACAGCAGCATGAATGTGAACTGACTTTTTATTCAAAACATCTGGTTTTGTGTTACACAAAGTAAGAAAATTATATGATTTCAGATCAAATGTTCAGAAATGTTATTCCTTGCTTGGACCACAGGTTTTCAAACTGTTCGCAAAAAGGTTAAAATAGTGGCAATAAATAATTAAATAAATAATAATTATTATTATATAAAATGTTTATTTTATACAATTTAGAAATGATATACAGATTAAGGAGCCGTGCACACAGAATGTGTTTTTGTGCACAGATTTCACAGTGAATTGCAAAAACGTGACATGCAGGACACTGGAACTAAAAAAAAAAAAACCCGAAAACAAAACAAGGTCTAGAAGCATTTTTTGAAAGTTTCAAAAAGACACTGCAAAAGATTCGACAGTGCGACAGTCAAGCATGTCTGTCTGGAAAAGTAGCACGTTCTGTGTGAACAGCCCCTTTATAAAAACAGTTCAAAATCAAAATGATTTCATTCTATTGATCTATTAAGCCATAGTTTTGTTTAGTTTGTTGTTTTCTTCAGCTTTATTCGTTTATCCTAACATTACTCTAATGGTGAGTAGAAATAAAATACAGTGTCAACTTAGAAACAAAATATTTTACACATATTTATAGATTTCAGGACACTGGAACTAAAAAAATTTTTTTTGAAAGTTTCAAAAAGTCACTGCAAAAGATTCGACAGTGCGACAGTCAAGCATGTCTGTCTGGAAAAGTAGCACGTTCTGTGTGAACAGCCCCTTTATAAAAACAGTTCAAAATCAAAATGATTTCATTCTATTGATCTATTAAGCCATAGTTTTGTTTAGTTTGTTGTTTTCTTCAGCTTTATTCGTTTATCCTAACATTACTCTAATGGTGAGTAGAAATAAAATACAGTGTCAACTTAGAAACAAAATATTTTACACATATTTATAGATTTTGATTTTACACAGTATAAATTTGTGCAGTACCTGAAAATACTATATTTTATATTTTTGGTGGTCTGTGGCATCAAACATTTTGAAAAACCCTGGTTTACACAGCCAATTCAGCAAAGGTCTTATTTTATTTTATTTTTGAGTGTGTGTGTAAAATTGTTACCAAAAGCCTAAATATAAAGAGTGGGTAATGAAATACATTGTGCTCTTTGTGAAAACACTGCCTTCTTTGAACAGATGCTTTGCTGAAAATACAGCTCCCAGAGGATTCCTCTCCATCATGTCATCTTCTAAACCACAGCATGCTGACAAGGAATGTATTTTTGTGCTCGGTTATACTTTCGATACACTCTGTGTTCATTCTGTACAATGGCTGCTATGACAAATTGGAATAAATATGCATGCAGCGCATCAGCCTTGAAATCCCTAGTCTTCCCCAGAGCAGGGAAATTTCTAAGAAATCACACACAGAGCCTGAAGACATGCTACAATCATCAACAACTCGGCCTCCACAAACTCCCACCCGTGAGCAGAACCTGGCTGTAATGTAATCTCTTGAGTGGGTTATGTAATGTTTGCGGCTCACTTAGCTAGTTCCTGGAGACTCTCCAGCAGGCGCTGAGTGGTGGTGGTCTCCTTGCTACCCAGGGAAACCATGAAGAAGTGAAGGTCATTGAAAAGCAACGTGTGGTCCTCTGTATGTGGCTGGGTCACCTGCTGCAGCTCTCAGTAGCGGTCCTTCACGCTCACACCTGTAATGAAAAACATTTTATCCACACAAACAGTTGCACCACTTTTGGTGCATTTCAACACGATTATTCCTCTTATCAACCAACCATAATGCAACACATCCAGTTTCACATCCCAGCTCATCAGTGTTTCTGAACCATGCCTACCAGCAGCTAAACCATTCAGACAGCGAGGGACACTTCACTGGCTGCTACCAGCTTGCCTCCAGCTGTCTCGAATGTCAGCCTGTCCAACATCACTAGCTGAAATCCCTGATGCACGCTGTGTCTGAATGGAAGTGAATCTTCACATCCAAATTCCAACATATAATAGAAAACCATTCCAGAAGTGTGGAAGAAAATACAACATCAAAGGGATGCCCAACTCCATATTAATATTACATTTTCAACAAGTATAGGTGTGTTCTCACAAACTTTTGCCCACGCAGATTCACAATATGAATATACACTACTTTAACTACTGGTCTTTATATAACTAAGATTTTAAGTTATGTAATGTTTGTTAATGGCTTATGAAAGTTATTACATAATGTTATCTACATTTTTAACAACTTTCTAAATATAAAGCGCTCTCTTTAAGAGTGCTGTGCCTTCACTGTGCTTTCATGGTGACTGACTAAACACACCTGTTGAGATGAATGTAAAAAATATTCTGGGATTGTCACATCAACCCTCACGTACAAGATTTTGAAAGATAAAGAATGATCAGTTATTAAATGAATAATAACTTCAGTCTTCAAGATTCTAATTTCCATTTACTGATGGTCTGTTGACAGTGTGTCCCTGCAGTAAATGAGTCAATGACTCCTATAAATTCAAGAGAGTGTAGTTTAAAGATTTTGCCCCGACACCCAGATGCTCCTGTCTACATCAGTTCAACTTTCACCAGCCTGAATCCGTCACAATCCATACGGACCCACATGACATGATTTACACTTCTCCCCTGGTACGACTAATTACATTATCTGTGTGCCTGCAAGATTTACCCTACTCTTGAAACAAAAAAGTGTTGTGATGGTACCATAGGTGGTATGAGATGGCACTATCTTTGATATACACTGAATGCTGTAACAGATTCATGTACCTTATATCATGTACTCCAAAGCACTTTAAAGAATACCATGCTACTACCATGATACATATAAAAAAAACATGGTATTAAATTGGACACCACTGTAGTATTATGCCACTTCTTTGTTAGTAAGTATAATGTTAGTAGCATGTGCACAGTAGTGCACTGACCTGCTCATCAAAAATCTTCAAAGCGTCATCATAATTCCCCTGTGGAAGAAAACCTTTTCAATGTGATATAGAGCCCAGTGCCAGTAATTATGACATGCCAACATGTCACACACCTTTAGAGGAGAAATAAGACATCATATGACCTGGAATTTTTATAATACACTATTTGCTACACAGTGTACTTCTAAACAGTGTGCTTCTACATGTTAATCTTTATATGTTTTTTGCAGTATTTCTGAGACTGACCATCCAGTCTTTCTCTGTAGAGGCCATGAACTTCAGTCCCTTGTCCATCTCTGCTTTCATCTCATGGACATGAGCCACAGCGTGGACACTCCAACCATCCTCAGGGGTCAGAGCCAGGGCCTGCAGGCATAATGCAGTCTTTGCAACTTTACATATCTTCTTTATGCACCAAGAGCTTGTAACACTCCAAAGAGAAAGGAAAAATCGAAATCGCATCATATGACCCCTTTAAGTGCAGAATGTCAGCCTGTCCAACATCACTAGCTGAAATCCCTGATGCACGCTGTGTCTGAATGGAAGTGAATCTTCACATCCAAATTCCAACATATAATAGAAAACCATTCCAGAAAAGGGATGCCCAACTCCATATTAATATTACATTTTCAACAAGTATAGGTGTGTTCTCACAAACTTTTGCCCACGCAGATTCACAATATGAATATACACTACTTTAACTACTGGTCTTTATATAACTAAGATTTTAAGTTATGTAATGTTTGTTAATGGCTTATGAAAGTTATTACATAATGTTATCTACATTTTTAACAACTTTCTAAATATAAAGCGCTCTCTTTAAGAGTGCTGTGCCTTCACTTTGCTTTCATGGTGACTGACTAAACACACCTGTTGAGATGAATGTAAAAAATATTCTGGGATTGTCACATCAACCCTCACGTACAAGATTTTGAAAGATAAAGAATTATCAGTTATTAAATGAATAATAACTTCAGTCTTCAAGATTCTAATTTCCATTTACTGATGGTCTGTTGACAGTGTGTCCCTGCAGTAAATGAGTGAATGACTCCTATAAATTCAAGAGAGTGTAGTTTAAAGATTTTGCCCCGACACCCAGATGCTCCTGTCTACATCAGTTCAACTTTCACCAGCCTGAATCCGTCACAATCCATACGGACCCACATGACATGATTTACACTTCTCCCCTGGTACGACTAATTACATTATCTGTGTGCCTGCAAGATTTACCCTACTCTTGAAACAAAAAAGTGTTGTGATGGTACCGTGCTTTCATGGTGACTGACTAAACACACCAGTTGAGATGAATGTAAAAAATATTCTGGGATTGTCACATCAACCCTCACGTACAAGATTTTGAAAGATAAAGAATGATCAGTTATTAAATGAATAATAACTTCAGTCTTCAAGATTCTAATTTCCATTTACTGATGGTCTGTTGACAGTGTGTCCCTGCAGTAAATGAGTCAATGACTCCTATAAATTCAAGAGAGTGTAGTTTAAAGATTTTGCCCCGACACCCAGATGCTCCTGTCTACATCAGTTCAACTTTCACCAGCCTGAATCCGTCACAATCCATACGGACCCACATGACATGATTTACACTTCTCCCCTGGTACGACTAATTACATTATCTGTGTGCCTGCAAGATTTACCCTACTCTTGAAACAAAAAAGTGTTGTGATGGTACCATAGGTGGTATGAGATGGCACTATCTTTGATATACACTGAATGCTGTAACAGATTCATGTACCTTATATCATGTACTCCAAAGCACTTTAAAGAATACCATGCTACTACCATGATACATATAAAAAAAAACATGGTATTAAATTGGACACCACTGTAGTATTATGCCACTTCTTTGTTAGTAAGTATAATGTTAGTAGCATGTGCACAGTAGTGCACTGACCTGCTCATCAAAAATCTTCAAAGCGTCATCATAATTCCCCTGTGGAAGAAAACCTTTTCAATGTGATATAGAGCCCAGTGCCAGTAATTATGACATGCCAACATGTCACACACCTTTAGAGGAGAAATAAGACATCATATGACCTGGAATTTTTATAATACACTATTTGCTACACAGTGTACTTCTAAACAGTGTGCTTCTACATGTTAATCTTTATATGTTTTTTGCAGTATTTCTGAGACTGACCATCCAGTCTTTCTCTGTAGAGGCCATGAACTTCAGTCCCTTGTCCATCTCTGCTTTCATCTCATGGACATGAGCCACAGCGTGGACACTCCAACCATCCTCAGGGGTCAGAGCCAGGGCCTGCAGGCATAATGCATTACAATAATGGTGCATTCAGTTAAAAAGGAATTATAAAGATATTTTATATAGCAGAAAATACTTTAATAACTACTTTAAAATATAATTGTATTCACTTATTTGCTGGTTTAACATTTTAAGTAAAAAAAATATATATATAATAGTTCAAATTTTCTGTGTGGGGAACAATAAAAAATTAATTGTCCAGTACACTGGACTTTATTGGACTTGTGAAAGTGAAATCTGTTATTATTTTCACTTTTGCAAGACAAGCACAGCACATTTACTGTGTCTACTGCATTAAAAAGAGGTTTATCAGATAAAATATTAATACAATTATAATCAATAATGCATGTTTAATAGCCTAATTAGTCATTTATTTACATTATAGTGCCATAACACAAGAAAGTAGTGAGCAATACTACTGAACAACATATATGCAGTTAAACAAAACTACCTCTTTTGCCATTTTTTCAGCTTCATCATACAAATGAGTCTCAAGAAGCCCAAAGGAATACATCCCTTTAAGATAGCTGGAAACAATATCCAATAAAAACAAAATTTTATCTAGAAAAAAAAAATAGTTAAACATTTTATTTTTAATTTTACATTTACAGGATATTATAAAATAGTTTTAGTCATGTAGACCACATTGACTTTTGAAAGGTATCTTAGGCATGAAGAAATGAACCTAGTAAACTGAAAAATAAACAAAATAATTATTAAAACAATATTATAAATTTTTACAAATAATTATCAAATTATTTTAAATAAAAATAAATATGTAAGTAAAAATGATAAATAATATGTGTGCATATATGTATGTAATATACATATATGTAATATGTATATATATATATATGTGCAATATTACAAGTATTGCACAATTCATCACATGGTAGAATACATCTAAAGCCAGCATTTAGATTGGTTGAGCACGGGCCGGGAACCTGCCTGTAAAACGGCATATGTGGTTTCCAGTGGGGCAGAACCCTGGCCGCCGAGTCTCTCATCTGAGTCTGTTCACCCAGGTAGAAGAATCCATCATGGGCAAACTTCAGTGCCAGCATGTCTGTGGGGTGATCCACCAGAATACCCTCCCAAATCTCACAGGCCTTATGCAGGGCTCTGAAACACATTCAGTCTACTTCATTCATAATTCATTTGACATTTACACAACAGTGTTGTTTATATACTATTGTAGTATTTATTCATATTTGAATTAGCTTTTATTCTTACATTTTCATTGATTTTAGTTTTAATAACTGTTTTTTTTAAATATTACTAAATATTTCTATTTACCTTTGTAATTTTAGTAATTCAGCTTAAACTTACTTATTTCAGCACTACTAAGTTTTTTTTTAGGTTTTTCATTTTAAGGGTTAGTTCACCCAAAACTGAAAATTCTGTTAAATAAATATGTTTAAAAAAGTTGTTAAAATCATATTCAGTAACTGAAATAAAGGTGAAATAAAATATAAATATTAAAGGGATAGTTCCCCCAAAAATGAAAATTCTGTCATTAATTACTCACCCTCATGTCGTTCCAAACCCGTAAGACCTTCGTTTATCTTCGGAACACAAATTAAGATATTTTTGATGCATTCTGACAGCTCTCTGACCCTCCCATAGACAGCAAGGGTACTACCACGATCAACGTCCAGAAACGTAACAAGGAGATGGGTAAAATAATCCATGTGACATCAGGGGTTCAACCATAATATTACGAAGATACGAGAATACTTTTTGTGCACAAAAGAAAAAAAATAACGACTTTATTCAACAATTTGTGCTTTGATTTGAACGAAAACAACGAAGTTGTTGAAGTTGTTTTCATTCAAATCAAAGCACAAACAACGTAGACAACATATCTGTGTGGTGCGACTGACACAGAATAGCATACGCTCTTTTCGTTCAGTGGATACTCTCCAAAATGGCGCTAGGGTGACGCAGAGGAGACGAATTGTTGAATAAAGTCTTTTTTTTTTTCCTCTTTTGTGCACAAAAAGTATTCTCCTATCTTCGTAATATTATGGTTGAACCCCTGATGTCACATTGATTATTTTAGGAATCTTTAAGATCACTTAAAACAGAACAGCAATGCATTTTATGGACACCCGTTTCGTGAACCTAGGAGAGGAGGTAATTCTGACTTTGCTATGACAATCTGGCGCTTCTGAATCAGCTACTGTTTTGTTATTAGTTTAAGTATTTGCTATTGACTGTTCAAATGCAGAGTTTTGCGCATCGGCTTGTGTGCTGCAAACACATACCAGCTTCATCACTGTGTCTGTCACGAGACTCTGTTCCCCTTTCGGGCTGTCTTTACATTTATTTTGAAAGATGAAGCTCGCAATTATGGTAAGGGGCGTTACATTTCCGACGAGTGCTTGCGGTGTTCGGCCAATCACAATGCACTGGGTCAGCTGGCCAATCAGAGCAGACTGCGCTTGTCGGAAGGAGGGACTTTGTAGAAAACGAAGCGTTTGAGAGAGGCGGGGCATAGAGGACCTACAATAATGTACAGTATTTGAAAAATAATGTGTTTTTTGAACATTAAAGCATGTCAACATATTCTGTTACACCAAATACACAAAATAATGATCTTTAAAAAAGCATCATATGACCCCTTTAATACAATATCTAATGCAATATACTGTGCAGAACAACATGCAAAACACATTCACTTTACTTCTTCTAACAAGGATTGATCTGTTGTGATTAAGATAAACAGTGTTGGGGAAAGTAACTTTTAAAAGTAATGCGTTACAATATTGCGTTACTCCATAAAAAAGTAACTAATTACATTACTTAGTTACTTTTTATGGAAAGTAATGCATTACGTTACTTTTGCGTTACTTTTTCAATCTGGACAGGGCTTGCTTGTTTGTTTTTTAAATAAAAAAGTTATATTTTTGGCAAATATAAAAGCCTTTTCACAGCAAAAGTCAAATGAATAAGCCTCAGGCTCAAGGAAATGTAAATTTACGTCCGTACAGCAGAATGCAGAAAAAGAAATTTCAACACACTTCAGCAATAAAAAAAGACACACAGATGTTTGTCTAGAGTAATTTTGGCTTATTAGTATGGTTGAACTGGATCATCGAAGGTCAGAAGCAAATAGAATGGGATTAAATACATAAAGCATATTTGTGTTGTTTAACATTTAATTATTGCAGGTTTGCGTCATATTCTGAGTTGCATTATTTTTATTCATTTTGAGGAATACTGAATCTGTGGGGGGTTTTTTTGGGAGAGATTAATTAATGCATATTCATATTTATTTTAGAACTACAGTAACATCTTCTGATTTCTCTCAACATGGGGACAGGAGAGCTGTCAATCAAGTAAAAAAAAAAGTAACTCAGATATTCTCTTGTAAATTAAAAAGTAATGCGTTACTTTACTAGTTACTTGAAAAAAGTAATCTGATTACGTAACTCGCGTTACTTGTAATGCGTTACCCCCAACACTGAAGATAAACTGCTGACAAACTGAAACCCTTAGTGTGCATTACGTGTTAGTTTTTGCATTTATTCTTTGCATTGTTTACAGCGTTACGTATATTAAGTAGATTGTATTCGATACAAAGTTGTTGTCCTGTCTGTAAAGTGCACTGTAGACATGGTGAAATAACATTTCGTTCCACCTTTCAGGTGTTTAATAAAGCACACCAAGTACACGCTAGTGAGACATATGTAACGAGTTAGGATTTGCAGCTTGCTACTTTTATCTCGAGAAACCCATAAAAAGTTGCTCGCGAAACTTTTAAACATGAATTGCGGATTACATACACACTGTAAACAAATTACAATTCCTAACGTGCCTTGCAGTCTCTGAAACTCGAGACGTTCCTTCTCACAGCCAGAGGTTTCCTTCAGCGATAACAGACTCGTGAGTCGTGAGCTTCGGATCTTCCTGATGAATCATTTGAAACGGTTCACAAAAACGGTCTGAATGATTCATTCAGGAATCGGACCGATTTGGTGCGAGCGGATCTCGAGTAAATATGGGCTGTAGCTTTCAAACACGTCCGGTGCGCAGCGTCAATAGCAATATTTTCAGCCAAGATATGCAAATGAAAACTGTTTTATAGGTTCTGAAATAGCATTATGAATCGAAATGGGACACATAAAATCACAACAAACAACACTTTAATAATAAAACGTATTCGAAAATGTGGTACTGGACCCTTTTAGAGCATAATATGCCAAGATATCAAGAAATGTGATCAAATAATGCAGCGAATCGTTTTACTAACCAGTTCTTTGAACTGTGAAAAGTTGAAATGAACTGTTCAAAGGAACCGATTCGAAAAATGAGTCCGACTTCCCACCGCCATTATGAATGCACTGGCTCAGGGTTAATGTTTAAATTGGAAATCGGAAGTTGTTTTTTGTGCTACATAATGCAAAATAATTTTTGCACGTTCCCTACTTCCAAAGGTCAATATTTACAACAGTTTCCCTCTTATATGTATTTTCTTGCGGTGTATTTTTTAAGTCTGAAAGTATCTGCTTGGATTTTAAGACTTGAATAGCGAATGTCCCTTTCCTGAAGCAAACACTAGTACTTGCAAAGATACAAATGAACAGTTGCAAGTGGTAAGTTTCAGGGAAAAAAATAAATAAATACAGGCCAACATTGAAATGCTTGATGGATAAATATGTAAAATAATATTAATAAACACCACAATTACCTATGCAAATAGACGTTAAAAAAGGCTTCAGAATTCATATGCAAATATCACAATCTTAATGGGTTAAATTTTGAAAGCTGACCAACACTGCAAAATTTTCCAGATTTTAATTTCTTGTTTACAAAAAGCACACCAAGGTTGAATACATTTGAATAAAGCCTGCACATTAAGAAGTTAAACGGCAAAAAGACTTTCAAGCACTGTAGAGTCATTTGTAACAACTGCATTGTTTTATTGCCTCTGCATACATCCAATACCCAATATGCAAATTAGCAACATGAAGCATTTTCAAGAACCAACATATTTTTAAAAATTAGGATTCATTTACTTTACATATAATACATTCTTTCACACGTTAATAAATACCGTAAAATCTGTCAAACATTTTAGTCTAAATAACTCTTTGACCAAGTGTACGTTTTCATTCACAGTTATCTGTACTTACAGTAAAAGAAAACAAATCTGTGCCCATCTATACAGCATAACGGTGACTAAAATGAAATGTACACTTAGGAAAAAGGCATGTTCACTTGCAATATCGATGTTGCGAGCATGACTACGTGCCCCCCGCTGTTAATCAGCACCGGTGTCTGTCGACAGTGCTGGAACGTTTTCATGTGGTATAAAACTTTACAAAGACAATTATAAATAACACACTCTGCAAACATAAGAAAACTCTGTGGATGTGAAAAGCTGTTGCATGAGAAGTTAAAAAAAGGCATGTTGCTCTAAACCTGGAGAAAGTGGAATATGACACCAAACCATGGTGGCAGATAATTAAATGTGAAAATGGGCGCCAATTCTTCATCTGATTTGATACTAAACAAAGTCAGAAAAGCAGTGGGTGCCTTAACTGTTCACGAAACCACTGACCAACCAACAAACGCATAACGCATTTGATTGTATATCAATGCATATTGTGTGTATATAGATAATCTATCTGCATTGAGGAAGTTTACATACTAATATATACTCCACTGCTTTATGTAAACTATAATACAAGTATCAGATATTCATGGATTATAAATGATTGTAAACTGATTTTAGGATATATGTGCAGTAACGCCACTCAAGACAAATGGAAACCAACATCAGTGAAGTACGTAACATCGAGATCGTTGCGCTCCCTGCATACACCAATATCTCTAATATCAGGTGGCTACTGACAGATTTGAAAATTGTGCAATTATTGATGCTACAAACACAACGTGTCGGTCGCTGAGGATGTCTGCTGTGACAATTACAGAAGTCTGTCACATGCTTATCTGTGAACCACACCTATAAAGAGTTCAGTCATCTGTTGCTTGGAGGTATGATGCTTATACGTTTATCCAAACACATTTTGTCCATGAAAACGTAACAGCTGATTGACCAGACATTCTCTGAAAAACAAGACGGGCTTTTAGTAAGATCATTAGTCTCAGACTTCCTCAACATCAGCAGGATTGATATGTCCCTTTTCAAGACCAAAAAAATAAAAATAAATAATTCTTAATGAGAGAACGTCTTGCACAGAACCAATGCCTTGGCTGCCGAGGGACAAAACGCCCCGAGTCGTACTCGTAAACATCATCATCGTGCTCATGAGCGGTTTTGTAAACGTTCTTGACATGCCGAATAAACGAGGGGAGAGACAGAACGGTTCTTTCTGCAATTTTTTACACTCCCTGCGGTGAAACTGGGAATCGCTGGCGGTCTGAACCGTTTCGCCATTGTTATGCTAAGCCCAGTTGAGATTGAATCCCTTAGAGAGCATCACCGACTCCAGGTCTTTATCCTCTTCTTTCTCCCTGAGTCTCTGCTCCTCCAGCAGGGCCACCAGAGAATCTCTTTGCTCGACTACCTCTAACATTTCATTCAGAATCTGTTTCTCCTCTGCAAGTTCCTCCTCGGTCTTCAGATGGTCTGCAGAGAGTGAAAAATTGATTTAAAGAAAATGCGTATGACTTTTTTTTGGTGTTACAATATGATCAGGCCTATACTGGAGTACAAAGTACCATCCACTGCCATGCGTTCTCGCAGTTCCTGCTGCAGTCGACTCTGTCTGTCCTCCAACTCCAGCTCACGAGCACTGCAGAGAAAAAGGAAGAAGTAGAACTGAATCGAAGAAGAGAACAAACGTCTGTTAAACTATAGAGTTTGTGTGAGGACGTTTGAAAAATCTTTGATGTTCAAAGATATTGGATTCCTTGATGCGACACATGGATATTAAGGAACCATCTGTCATTAAAGCACCATAATGTTTGGCTTATGCTTGACGGTCCAGACAAACACGAGGGTATGGATGAGCAGATGCACTTTTAAGCCATGTGCTTTGAGAAGAACTAAAGCAAACGTTAAAAGCACTGTTGGATCGTCTTTTATTTGGTTGATCAGTTGGTTGTTACTAAACTTCTTGCACTGTTATTCAAATTCTGTCTAATAAATTAATTCATATTCAGGTTGCTAAATGGCCAATTTTAAAATGCTATACTATTTTAAAATAATATATTAAAACTAAAAATCAAACAATTCAAATAATTGAAGTGAATTTAGGCTTCACTACCTTAATGCACATTATGAAAATGGATATTCATTTTGAGATTGGCTAAAGATTACATTTTAAAGTCTTATTAAATGATAAGTGTATTAAATATTAACTCTAAGTGAGCACATTCTGGAAAATCTAAATGTAAAAATAGCGGAAACAATCACACATAATTACATATCCAATACTGACCGAGAAGTGAATTTAGGCTTCACTACCTTAATGCACATTATGAAAATGGATATTCATTTTGAGATTGGCTAAAGATTACATTTTAAAGTCTTATTAAATGATAAGTGTATTAAATATTAACTCTAAGTGAGCACTTCTACATTCTGGAAAATCTAAATGTAAAAATAGCGGAAACAATCACACATAATTACATATCCAATACTGACCGACTGAACTTAAGTGTTGATGACAAATGTGATACAGCCAATAACTGCATAACTGTTAATATCTCCCTATGGAGATCCCACAAACATGGTTTTTCTTTTCTTAATGAAAACCCCTTTGTAATTTGTTACAAAGGTTTTGTTGATTAAACTTTCCCTTTTGCCTGAATGTATGGGCAATTTGGTGCTCATCTTTGCAAACAGAGATGCACGGTTGATTAGATCTGTGGCACAGTCACTATGTAATTGCATCTCGTATCCACTCAATGTAAATAGAACAAAACAGAATCAAATAAATGCATCTGGTATAATATTTCAGCACCATCTTGTTGCCTACAGCGAATTTGCCTTTTAGAGACCATCAGTTCTTGTTTCGAAAGACTAAGCATTTGTTCCTTTTGTACAATGAATAAAAACATCCAGACTCCAGACAATACACTGGAGTTTGTTAATATTACATTTTGAAAAAAAAAAACAAAGAAATAAATCAATAAAACTTAAAAAAATATATATAAATAAATATATATTATTAACAAAAATTATTAAGATTCACATACATTAACATGCAAAATCTTAATTTATAACTTAAAGGTTTTGGCTTATTTTATACAGTTTTAAAAAAAAATCTTAAAATTTCATAAAATTATCATAAATGTAAAAGTCAAAACACCCTAATCCTAAAAACTTGACAAAAACTTCAAGCTGGATAAGCAAATATTTTTTTCCCACTTTTGGCTGTTGTTTTGGAGAACAGTGTAATGGAAAATGTGTCGATTATAACAGATTTATTTATTTTTTTACGGAGAAACCTTAACATACAAGAATATGAGTTTCTTTGTAATAAATAAATAAATAAAGCTCTGATTTATTTTTACAGTTTGAAAAAACTTCTTAATGTGGATAGACTAGAAAATTAAGTTCAAATTAAAAAGCATTATGAAAAAAATTAAGATCATTGAGAAATGAGAAATGAGCAATGAATCTTAAATTGGGTGTCTACTCACAATATCATCAGCTCCGATTCATAGCGCACCAAGGCATTCTTCTCCTGCACCAGTTTAAACCATTCCTGCATCAGCTTTGGATCGTCCTTTTTACCCATTCCTGCAAGAAGCAAATTGTAGAAGCATGAGGAAACCGTCAGTTAACCACTCGCTGACACACAGACCTGACACCGACACCCACACAGCAAATGTGATGACAGCCAAGCTAGGATGTCTTTGTCAGGGCAAGAGTAGGGTGGGAATGTGGAAGACCGTGATGAGGTCGAGCCTGCCGGGTTCACAGAGGATGGCGTGGAGGTACGGCTTCTGATTGGACAGCATATCATGATCAATGCTGATCAGACTGGACTTCTGAGGCATTTGGTCTTTTTCAAGGCAGTGGATATTGCTTCAAACTTTGAAACCTTCTTTTGCAGGACTACGTCTATTAATTATGAAAGCTACCCAATAATCCAAGGCAATGTCACAGGTATATGTCAAAAAGTGTGAACATCTAAATTCATCTAAACTTGGTTTTACCTTTGTGGGTCCATAGCTTGCTCCAAGGAGTTTTCCTCCAAAAAATTATGCAAGTTACTCAACTGTATACCATTTTAGCATAATGGCATGGCAATAATTATGGCATATCATAAAGAAATGTTCTAGTTTCTTTACAAGTTCAGCTCTACTGACAGTACTGGTGGCAAAGTGTTGATTACCACAAGAAATAATTCTGACTCTTCTCTTATAAAACATTATTAATATTTCTTACAAATAATATATAAATATAAATAACACGTGACAGTTCAAAAGTTTTTTTTTTTTTTTTTTAAGAAACACTTTTATTCACCCAGTATATTTTAAATTGCTCAAAAGTGACCATAAAGAAATAATGTTATAAAGTATTTCTATTTCAAATAAATGCTGTTAATTTTTGAATTTATTAAAAAAAGAATTTTGCTTTTAAAAAATAGAATGAATAAAATATATATGATTATTATAAATACAAATCTACATTTTGAATATACAAATAATTATTTAAAAAATGATAAAATATATATATTAATATTATATAAAAAAAATTATATATTATAATTACACAAATAACTGCAACAATACTTTTTATTAAATTAGCAAAAGGTTGGATTTTTTTTTCTAGATAAAAAGTCATGTATCATAATATTGTATACATTCTACACAGAAATAATTAGTATCACACTGGCTTTTAATGGCTTTAAAATGACTTTGAACTTTAATGCAAATTTTATTGTCCCATTTACTTCTACTGTAAGTGCCTTAATACAACCACAATTTTTGCTTGTTATAAAAACAAAAAGGACAAGTCAAAATAATTTTCTGTGGTAATCAACATTATGCAGCAAAAGCTTGCAGGTATAACTTGCATTGAACCTGGAACATTCCTTTAAAAAGGGCTCTGGGTTAAGCTCGTGAATCAATATTCTTTACCTGCAGTGCAGTTAGACGTTCCTCTAACGTATTGCATGAGGTAAAAAGCCTCATGGCATGTGCTGAAGTCCATGATCAATGCAGAATACTGTCAACCGGCTGTATATGGGAACAACTGTACATGTCAGCCCATGCTAGCACAGTCCCAGACATCTATGAAAATCCCATCTCCCATCCTTACACGCACATACATAAACACACGAGTGAAGCCAAGCGCTGAGATGAGCCATCGCATGGCAAACCTGGATGCAGCATGACGTACTTAGCTGACGGAGAGGCGGCTCTTGCAACACAAAAGGGAAAAAGACAGTACACACATAAATCGAATGGCTGTGCTCGCGGTTGCTGGCCTTGACTGTTTTAAACACACAGAGGCAAAGTAGAAGTCCTCAGACATAAAAACAGTGAGAGACAGGGACAACGGAGGACAGGGAGGCTAAACTTATCCAGTGGGACGCACTGTGAGTGGCCTCCCCCACACTCAGCCCCATGCTTTTCCCAAGAGGAACAGAGAAAGAAGAACCACAGTTAGAACAGTCGTAGAACAGCCACGCTAACGTCGTGCCAAAAGGGCACTGTTATATACAGGCATAGTTACACACACCAGATTACAAACGGACAAAAACACAATGTTGCCAAACTTTTGCATTTTGTGCTACAGCATGTAAAGTCAACATGAAATGTCAAATGCTGCCATTTTACTTATATATTGTTATATTTCAACCAGAAATTTACTGAGAGTACTGAATATCAAATTCATATAGTACATAATATCAAATATATTTTACTATATGTATAGTATAAATATTATGTATAAAACAAATTGGTAACCTAATATAGTAAACTAAATTATACAATAATTATATATATACAGTATATATGTATATATATATATATATATATATATATATAAAATGGGGGGGAATTCCCCCTTTAGGTGGCTCTTATGGGGGGATTTTTTAATTTCAGGGGGAGTTAGGGTATTTTTTTAGACATATTTTTAAACTACAATCATCCAACCTAAATGTTTCGTCACCCAGTGTATTTGTGTTTTACAATTTATAATGTTTCATTATATTGAAATGATTCATATTTATATTGTGAGAAAGATACTTTAAAAAAAATCTTTCACACTCTGAACTGAATTTATTTTACAAGTAACCAGTCAGTAATAAAATAAGAATAGATTAATGACAAGCAATGGCACAAACAATTACAATAACAAGATACAACTAAAATTAACTGTGCTTTAAGTTTTTCAGGTAGGTTTAACAGTAATATTCAGCGACAGAAATACCACAGAATCAGAATAATCTATTTAACTTTAAAATAACACTGGTTAGTCTTCAATGTATAAATAAATATTAATGACTGACAGCAGCAGGTTTATTTAGGTTGCTGTCTCTTTAAAGGGGTCATATGATGCGATTTCAAGTTTTCCTTTCTCTTTGGAGTGTTACAAGCTGATTGTGCATAGATAAGATCCCTGAAGTTGCAAAGACTAAAGTCTCAAAACCAAAGAGATATTCTTTATCAAAGTTAAGACTCTGCCACGCCCCCCTAAAACGGCTCGTTCTAACACACCCCCACATATCTACCTCACTATGTGGAAATATTAGCATAATGC